CGGCAGGGATGTCCTTGTCCCATCGCGCTATAGCGACCCCTGTGGCGGGCCGGGCGCAGTGCACGCTGACTCGTCGCCAGGTTTATGGTGTTTCCTCCGAACACATTGGTGCGGCTGGCTTCCGGGTTAAGCGGGCACTGTGTCAAGAAGCAGCGCGGCTCGGTTGGGTTGTGTTTTGGAGGACACACGACTCTCGACCTTCGCCTCTCCCGTGTCCGTACGGGGGTTGCAGCGATGGGACAGGGACTGTAACTACTACCAATTGGATATCTCGAAATTGGGGAGAAAAAGGGGGTAAATATCAACAAAAAAACAAAACATTAAAAAAATTGATTTTGCGATTTCCAACTTGTTGTGTAATGTTTATGTCCAATGGCTGATGAGCACCGATACGTTTTATCTATAATTTATCTTCATATGACAAGGATTTAAAAGGATTTGCCAGTAGATTGTCAACTTGATTCATGATGATGACTGCTTGTCTAGCTTGCTAGCTAAGATTTTGAAAGTATGATGTTGACATGATCAGTCCAATCAAAGCTACAGTAGATATAACATGATTTGATGTCATTTGATCTCTGGCCAATGACCTTGAGCATTCTTGGATGGGCACAATGTAAATCTATGACAGCACCCAAGGGGCTTGAACTTTCTAGCTCTCCCTGTAGATTTTGCAGTGATGTCGTGTCCCCATGAGTGACAGACCACTGAGCCAATCACGGCGCAACTAGAGAACATTACCAACCCTACGCTCTGTATTTACTGCTGGCTGACCCACCACCACAGAAAGCACTGAGCTAGGCTGAAACACCTGCATTTTGGAGCTGCCTTACTCAAAGCAAAAAAGAGACCATGTTTGTATGCGGCTTTATTAACTAAATTATTATTATTTTTTACATTGTTTGCAAACTGATATGTGACATGTATTAATGCCAAAATAACATGCAAAACATGCAAAAAAATTAATTATAATAATACTAATTATTATTATTATTATTATATATTTTTTAGCTAAACAGGTGCTGCTCAAAACAGGTGAGGCTCTGCCCCACCTGCCCTGAATGATGGGTCGCCACCATATTTGAATTTCAAAATAATTAATCTGGCTAAGAATAAATATGTAACTAAATTAAACAAGACAACAGTAAACATGTCGTCCCCCCACGAATGATGCAGCGCCACCCCTTGGCCCAATTGATATATTGTGTGTGACTAAAACATTTCACTTAATTACTATAGCTCCTGCCTTGTGCCAATCAGTGTAATATTGTAAATGCCGGATCTCTCTGGCAAGAAGTATCATTCACCCAAGTTTCATCAAAATGGGCCAGTGCTGTCTGAGATATCGTGTGTGACTAATGTAAAAACGAACGAATGGAGACAGATACACAGTCCTATCCCCGATTTTATTGTGGGGGACAATAAAATGTGGAACTGATAACATGAAAAGTGGTCTATCTTACAAAAATGTGGCTAATGTAATGTAAGTCAGTGGAACTATAAAATGGACCATACTTATTATAGTATGTATGATGTGTTACATGAGGACTCATTTAAACGTAACACAGAATTTACATTTAACTTTAATAACTCTTGTAGAAAGTGAAAGCTCCAGAACAGCCCTAATAAAAAATCCTACTCCTTTTTTGTTTTCTACTAATTAGCATTTTAGCACACAATCATACCTCTACTTTGTTCTGTTTTTCTAAAAACAAAATGTCAAACTCCAAAAAGAGGTCCCCTAAGGACACAGAAGATAGGCTTAGCTAACAGGATGGAGATTATCAGCAGAACAATGAAGAGAAGCAATGATTAAGGTAATAACTAACTCACACCTGGCTGGATTACATGAGCAGCGTTCACAAGCATAAATAGGTTTTCTCACTCTGCTCGTGCCCAGGCTGTTCTTAAACCTACAGCCCCGCATGACTGGTGTATTTTGGTCACAGAGCCCACACAGTTCTTCCACTTGTGTCTGCAAACTGCCCTCCTTTCCTTGTGTAACGTATAAAAAAGGGGCAGCTTCTATAAAGGCAACGGAGCTAAGGGTCTCCTTGTGATACAGTCTATTACTAGGCTGTATCAAGGCCTTACTTTTCTAACACTTTTAATTCAATTTAGTTTTTTATGAAACCTGTTCTCCTTCACTTGAGCAAATCAAAACAACCCCTTCCACATGAACAAACTGAAGCGGAGCTGAAAAAACGGGATATTCCTGAGGGGAAAAACACAGTACTTGCATAAGCAGTTATAAGCAGCCATAAGCAGTTATTACTTTGCCTTATGGATCCTTTTGTGTGTGTGTGTGTGTGTGTGTGTGTGTGTGTGTGTGTGTGTGTGTGTGTGTGTGTGTGTGTGTGTGTGCGTGTGCGTGCGTGCGTGCGTGCGTGCGCGAAACAGATATAATGCCACATTTAGCTTATGCAGTCTGCTTTTCAAATTGATCTTGTTCTGTTCTCATTGCTCAAAAAGCAAGCATGTGAGAATCCGCCTGTTCTCATATACCCTCAAGTCAGCATTAGCCTCTAAAAGCAATGATAGCATGTCGTTTCTTAATTCACCCACTAAATAAACTATAGGCTACAATAAGTATTGTGTTTGTAATAACAAGCGATGAATTGGGCTGTATGTACTGCTGCTGCTTATTTACACTTACAACAAACAGTCCCTCAAAATAATGTGTTGTTTGGACATCAATAACCATCACCCACAGAGGTGTAGAGAAGGCAACTGAGATATCAATGTAGATAGCCAGTTTGATATCCCAGGGAAGTACAACGTATATGTCTTGACACTTGATATATTGGTAAAAGGACATGAGTGATTTATTAAATTCAGGGCCTAGCCTATATAGGCTAACTATATCCAATTTCAGTGTGGATATTCTTCTGAATAAAAACACAGAACTAGCTTATAAGCAGTCATAGCAGATAGGTTAGTCTACTTGTCCAGTTAGCAAATGATCACAAAGCTGAGATCCTTATGGACATATGGCCAAATATACAGTGCAGAGCACAACACTGTAAATTAGGTCATTTAACAGTTCAATTAACTTACCCAATAGCAGAAGCCTGTGGGTTTGTTTGTATTCTCTCTTCTCTTCCTTCAGACTCTTGTCTATGTTCCGACTTCTCTTTACCTCTGCTTTGATCCGTGCTTTCTCCTCCACTCTGCGTTGATCCCGAAGCTCCAAGTCGGATGAATTGTCCTGCTGCCCGGGCTCGCCATCTAGCCCAGCATTAGCACCCGTTCGCCCGCTGTAGGTTATCGATGAGTGGGGTCCTATAATCCTAGATCTAAAACTATGACACATCCCCATAACGAGCGGCCAGGTTACAATTCAATTAGCTAACACTGAATGAGCGTGGAAACACCATCATTATCATAACAGTCTCGCTGTTTATTGTCACATCCCGTTAGCGGACATGGGGTCCGTGGACCAAGGTGTCTCCTTCTCGCACTTCAATGTTTTTTTCTGAAAACGTAAAAGCCACTCACAGTCTCTGACGAATATGAAACTGAACGGCTCACAGTTTCAGTGCTTCTAGTGTGATATATTTAAGTAGATAGCTTGTTGGTTTGCCCTATTTTTCTCTCGAAGTGCTTCCTCATCCTTCCTCTTTCCTGTTACCATTTTTAGGAGCAACAGCAGAAGACAGAGGAAAAGCCACGATTTCGAGTCACGTGATTTGCGTCATTCATAGCATGCCTGATTCATTCTCAAATCAATCACTCTCACAAAATATACATACTGTAGGTCGGGTTATAGCTTAAAGGCTCTTTTCAATGTCAGACTACTTGAGGCAAAATAAAACGCAATTGTCTTTATCTGAAAATGTAAATATCTTACTCAGAGAAGGGTAAAAACTGTGTATCTCTCTCTCTCTCGATGAAGATGGATTATATTAACACTACTGTTAACGGTTGGGTCATCCCTATCATGCGGTGCCTTTTCTGTCCCCAGGAAGTATCACTTCTTATTTAGTGTATAGTAGTGTGAAATGCGGAATCAAAAAAGCTTTAAATATAAGGTCAGGTGTCCTTTACCTTAAAAAATCTAAGATATGGATCTTGAAAGGGAATTTTATGTATTTTCAAAACTTTTTTTCAGTGGATGTAGGAGTTTTTACCATGTCCCAGGATGTTATTCATCAACTTCTACGATAAATATAAACTATAAAATAATAACATATTTGAACACTTTCTTCATTATTTTATAGTCCTAGTTAAATAAAATAAAATATGTTTGATAGAGAAGTTAAAAATCCTGTTCAATTGTTCACCATTATGCTAGCTCAATCTTGCTCACTCACGGAGCTATGGCAAATGTAGGCTCCAAATGTCCACCATGTTAGGACTATGCACCTTTTTCTGATAGAATACCAAAAAATATTAAGATATACTTTTCCCCCTAAAGTTAAGAGGTACAAAAGGCACCGCTAATTAGGAATGACCCGGTTAACTGTCTGTCTATGTTCGTATTACTGAGCTCCAAATGTGTGTGTACGTGTGCGTGCGTGCGCGCGCGTGCGCTGTGTGTGTGTTATAGATTTTTCAGATTGGACCATATAAATCGGATTAGGGATTTTTGTGATTGACTAGAATTCAGTCAATCAATCGATCAAATGTATTTATAATGCCCTTTTTACATCAGCAGATGTCACAAAGTGCTTATACAGAAACCCAGCCTAAAACCCCAAATAGCAAACAATGCAGATGTAGAAGCACAGGCGGCAGAGAAACCTCTCTGAGATTGCCACTAGATGGCAGCAAATTCTAACTCATGTAAACTGTAGCTTGGTACAGATAGAGCCAGCTTCATAATGTTTCGTATTTACTCCAACCTCAATATATGCACAAATTAAGGACATTGATTAGGTGGTTCCATATAATTATTTCCACAGAAATACTTTAACTTTATTTAAAATTAATTTCCCCCACATTTTTCACCATCTGTGGTTCTAGAAACTGCGACTTCCTCAAACTATGAAAAGTCGCACCTCCCTTTTTCAGTAGCTGTACAAAAGCTAAGAGAACTGAAGTCATCCACTAGATCATAACATTAAAAGTAGACGTCGCTGCTTCATGAAAATGGCTGGGAAAATAAAGAAGTTTTACGACTTTTCAGCTAAGTTGCTGTGTGGAGATTTGCTAAATTTCTCCTCCCTAAAGGATAAAGTTGTGCTTATTGAAAATGTGGCGTCACTTTGAGGAACAACAACCAGGGACTACACTCAGATGAACGAGCTCCATTCGCAGTATTTCGAAAAGGGGCTCGTGGTTCTGGGGGTGCCCTGCAACCAGTTTGGCCATCAGGTAGGCATTCACTTATTTTTCTATATGAATTTCGATTTCAATATTGCAGGTTATTCGGCCTTCTCTTTGAAATGTGGTGGTCAAGTAGTGGTCAACTCTCAACCTGTTAGCCCAATGGTAGTTTGGCCAGTTGTTGCAACATTGTAGATTGGGAATAACACCAATTGTTAAACTGTCTGTGTGATACTTTTGGGACTCATCATTGAGACATTATTTGTTTTTTCCCCTCTTGTTAACATGCTTCAATTAAGATCATTTCTGAAACAGATTTATTGTTTATTGATTCTTATTCTGTCTAAACAGGAGAATTGTAAGAATGATGAGATCCTGAGGGCCCTGAAGTATATCCGTCCAGGAAATGGCTTCCAGCCCAAATTTCCACTTTTTGAGAAGATGGATGTGAATGGAAATGATGCCCACCCCTTGTTTGTGTATCTCAAGCAGAAATTGCCATTCCCTGCCGATGACTCCATGGCCCTCATGAGCGACCCCAAGTTCATCATGTGGAGCCCTGTCTGCAGGAATGACATCTCCTGGAACTTTGAAAAGTTCCTGGTCGGTCCTGATGGGGAACCTTACAAGCGCTACAGCAGAAGGTTCCTGACCAGTGACATTGAGGCAGATATTAAGGAGCTACTCAATGTGAAATAAACCGTCCTGGCAGAGCTCTCACAGGGGTACAGTGGTAGTGGTGGTGATAAGGATGTAGAGAGCCTGGCCACAGGGACAACACAGAACGTCTTCACTCTCCTGTTAATCAGCAGTCACACATTTTCTTAATCTGTTTTATCACAATATCCCTTCACCAGTACCAACGGCTTTTGCTACCAGCCTCTGCCTCTGTAGGAATACGCCTGCTGCATTTGTTTCAATTGGCTTTGCTCTCCTGTGCAAGATACTGTTGTTTTTGAGACTCTTTACTGAATGAAGTGATTCCTTAAAACCTTTTTTGTGAGAGGAGTTTCTGATAAAGATGTAAAGGCCTGAATCTAACAGTAGTGTATTACTCATGTATAGCAAAGACCAGTCAGTGGAAAAATACATGTAATAAAACATTATTTTATTGGTTTTCATTTCCTTTAACATTATGTAATTCTACAGTAATGGAGTTATTTGAGGAGTAATAACAGGTTGATGGTTGATATTAACATACAATCAAAGTTAAGTTTTTACAACAGAGCAAAGTTCTATAGACTGTTACAATCAAATAGTTTTAGTATTGGTTATAAATATTATAAACGGAATTTATGGTGTATAAAAAACTACAACAGAAACTACAGTAACTTGAACCAATTAAATAAAAAAGCCTAGATGTCCCTTGACAAAATAAAGTAGACATGGATACATAAAAACTGCAATCATGTTGTCAGTCACTCAATTGAACAATTCACTACTAGGATTGTTTTATTTACTGTAAAGTGAGCCCAGATGTAATCTAATTTTCAGACAGGTCTTTCCTGAGGAGTTGTTATCAACAGAATCCTATGTCACGATGCTGTGTGTACAGATAACTGGCTGAATGAGGGTCTTGTCATTGAGGACAGAAGTCATTGTAATAAACAGAAAGATCATACTCCTGTTCCATCTGCAACACAATCTCTAACATGCAGTGGTCCTCCTCTGAACTGGACACATCTCCATTGCTGCTGCTTCTGTCCTCTACCAAGCTGTCTGAACTGTGTCCCTCTGGTGATAGAGACTCTTCTTCTACATCCTGATCCCCACACACACGGTGCAGCTCATTCTCAAACTCCAGTTTAGCCACTAGATCCTCCAGAGTCTGGATATCTGAAGTCCCTTTGCAGGGGACACAATGCAAGCTTTGAGTGGATGACTGGTTTGTGTTTGCCATCTCCTTTATGTGATAGCTTTGTGTCTTTAAACTAGTACAAGGGCTGATCTTAAACATTCATTTTGTTTAACATTGCAATGTGGCAAAATGAAAAATAACCACCAGTGTGTGAACATCACAAATTGTGTTTTAATACTAACCTTGAATACTTAGTGTTTTAATACTAACCTAAAACTTCAAGTAGATCTTTAGGGAATGGAGCTTCGGATTTGCTTGACAGTGCAAAGCTCTCCCTTTTATGCCTTGACTCCTCTTGCCTTTTGAATGAGAACATTTCTAATTAACTCAAAATAACATTGTTATAGTATAGCCTATTGTAATGAAGTCTGTCTGCTTTTTATGTATCCATAATCTCTATACCTGACAAGTGGTTCCTCAAATTGGAGTTTTGTTTGTGAGTGACTGAGTGAGTCCTTGCTGGACTTATCAAGAGAAGAGGGTGTAGTGATCTCTAGTGCTGTAATATCCTCCATTGCACGGTCCAAGGCTTCAGTTAGCCCTTGTCCTTGTTTACACTGTTTCAGGCTTGTTGGAGAGACTGTAATGCTGTACAAATTAAATGGTTATGGTAGAATAGTGGCTGATATCCCCTAGCGGCTGCTGGTAGTGCATCAGCAGTTGTCCTATTTTTATGTCAGTCACTGACAGTCACTCAATTATCCCATGTCAACTAACATTTGATAGTTTGCTAGGTGAGTTAGTTGAAGTAATCATGGCCGAATTACTGTTCAGGCACGCAAGGCACGTGCCCAGGGGCCCTGACCTCCAGGGGGCCCCCATTGATTTTGTTAGTCACTCTCACTCAGATATCTGTAGTAGAATGTGTAGAATTGCTAAATGTTTTCTTCATCCCAATGTAGAATGTGTAGAACTGCAGGAAAATAGCTTTAAAACTGCAACGTTCTCTCTCCGCCCCATGGCAAAATGAGTATAATTGCAGGTCATTAAGTTTAAAGCTGCACATTTTTCTCTCCACTGCCAAGAGGGGGGCCACTTAAATGTTTTGCCCGTGAGGTGCCCCCCCCCCCCCCCAACCAAATCTCGTTTAGGCAATAGGGCCCCCCAAAATGCTAGAAACAGCCCCATGTGGATGACCCATGTTTCTGGGCATATTGACCCTGACCCCCTTGACATTTGGTAAGGCAAGTTGCTTAGCTAATTTTTATTGATAATAAACTCAGCAAAAAAAGAAATCCAAATTACTTCACAGATCTTCATTGTGAAGGGTTTAAACACTGTTTCCCATGCTTGTTCAATGAACCATAAACAATTAATGAACATGCACCTGTGGAACGGTCGTTAAGACACTAACAGCTTACAGACGGTAGGCAATTAAGGTCACAGTTATGAAAACTTAGGACACTAAAGAGGCCTTTCTACTGACTCTGAAAAACACCAAAAGAAAGATGCCCAGGGTCCCTGCTCATCTGCGTGAACGTGCCTTAGGCATGCTGCAAGGAGGCATGAGGACTGCAGATGTGGCCAGGGCAATAAATTGCAATGTCCGTACTGTGAGACGCCTAAGACAGCGCTACAGGGAGACAGGACGGACAGCTTATCGTCCTCGCAGTGGCAGACCACGTGTAACAACACCTGCACAGGATCGGTATATCCGAACATCACACCTGCGGGACAGGTACAGGATGGCAACAACAACTGCCCAAGTTACACCAGGAACGCACAATCCCTCCATCAGTGCTCAGACTGTCCGCAATAGGCTGAGAGAGGCTGGACTGAGGGCTTGTAGGCCTGTTGTAAGGCAGGTCCTCACCAGACATCACCGGCAACAACGTCGCCTATGGGCACAAACCCACCGTCGCTGGACCAGACAGGACTGGCAAAAAGTGCTCTTCACTGACGAATCGCGGTTATGTCTCACCAGGGGTGATGGTCGGATTTGTGTTTATCGTCGAAGGAATGAGCGTTACACCGAGGCCTGTACTCTGGAGTGGGATCGATTTGGAGGTGGAGGGTCCGTCATGGTCTGGGGCGGTGTATATCAGCATCATCGGACTGAGCTTGTTGTCATTGCAGGCAATCTCAACGCTGTGCATTACAGGGAAGACATCCTCCTCCCTCATGTGGTACCCTTCCTGCAGGCTCATCCTGACATGACCCTCCAGCATGACAATGCCACCAGCCATACTGCTCGTTCTGTGCGTGATTTCCTGCAAGACAGGAATGTCAGTGTTCTGCCATGGCCAGCAAAGAGCCCAGATCTCAATCCCATTGAGCACATCTGGGACCTGTTGGATCGGAGGGTGAGGGCTAAGGCCATTCCCCCCAGAAATGTCTGAGAACTTGCAGGTGCCTTGGTGGAAGAGTGGGGTAACATCTCACAGCAAGAACTGGCAAATCTGGTGCAGTCCATGAGGAGGAGATACACTGCAGTACTTAATGCAGCTGGTGGCCACACCAGATACTGACTGTTACTTTTGATTTTGACCCCCCCCCCCCCCCCCCCCCCCCCTTTATTCAGGAAACATTCTTCCATTTCTGTTAGTCACATGTCTGTGGAACTTGTTCAGTTCATGTCTCAGTTGTTGAATCTTGTTATGTTCATACAAATATTTATACATGCTAAGTTTGCTGAAAATAAACGCAGTTGACAGTGAGAGGACGTTTCGTTTTTTGCTGAGTTTATAAGTATAACAATGTTCTTTGTTGTTATGCCTAAAGCTTCAAGCTAATATCAAAAAAAACATAGCTAAGCTACCTAACGTTAGCTACCGTTGTATGTCAGCGATCGGGTGTTAACTAGCAAGCGATCTGAAATAACAAGTTAATTAACATTAGCTCTTGTGTGTGGTGCAGGTTAGTGCTTGCTGGCCTCACCATTTTCGCTGATTTTGCTTGCTTGTTAGATAACTCTGACTGATGGTTAAAGTTAGCTAGCTAACTTGCTAAACAAGGTAAACTTCTGAAGTTCTAGACTTGGAATCTGCAACCGCCATCAGTGTCTCGTGACTAAGTACCTGGTTGAATGTGACTCGTTGAATGTGGCTCGTGAGCCAGCTGATTATGAACATGTAAGCTCTTTCGTGGGAGCTTAGTTTGCTGGAAAGGTTGCAGAAGTTGAAATTTAAAATGGTTAATGTTAGGGTTTAGGGTATGGACGTCCCAAGTATCCCGGGTAGCGCTGACCATGAGATCAACCCACAACACCCCCCTTGCGTTTGGCGCACCCTACCAGACAGCGGAAGTACTGAGCTTAGCAAACTCGTAAAGATGTCCGGCCAGGATGACCCAGTTCAAAGAGAAATCCACCAGGATTGGGCAAATCGCGAGTATATAGAAGTGATCACGAGTAGCATCAAGAAGATTGCCGATTTCCTAAATTCATTTGGTAAGCTTTAGCATTCCTTCCTGCTGTGGCCCAGTGGCTCGCTCGCTCGCTGGCTAGCTGAACAAGCAATCGACCACTCCTAGTTAACGTTAGCTAGTTAGCGACTACTTGCTAGCTAGCTTGGACTACGTGCTGGTAGTGGTAAAATTATTTGATAGCTGGCCAGCTTGTAATATCGTTACTGTCTTCTGAGCTTCTCAAGACCTGAGAGAGCATAGCCCTAGTGCAGTCCATTGATGGTTGCTTAACCCGCATACGACACTAGGTTTAGTTACCAGTGGTTGTTGCACAACAATTGCCAGTGGTATTATGAATGTCCTGGTCCCAGATAGATTGTATGTGCCGTCTTTAGCCAACTCTAATCTAGCATGCCAAGTAGTGTCTGAGGAGTTGGTTACACTTTGCATACAGAGATCTGGGACCAGGTTAATGCTATATTGGTATACATCTTTTACTATTGTCTGGCATCACACCATGTGTGGATTGTGCTATGACCTCGAGGTTATATTTACTGTAGTTAGGTACCTAACTTGACCCTAATAGTTTAATAACGATAGGGCCAAACCAATCTAAGCCAAACTGTACTCGGCTGGCTTGGCTACGTATCCATCACAGTTGCTAGAACCGTGCTGGAAAGAACAATGTGAAAAAAATAATACATCTTTCAGAAATGAAGAAGAATAAAACATCAAGTGAATTTTCATGTAAATTTATTTTCCAGATATGTCCTGTCGGTCCCGGTTAGCCACTCTTAATGAGAAGCTAACTGCCTTGGAGAGGAGGATTGAATACATTGAGGCAAGGGTAAGTGGTTTTCAAATATGCACATGATGGTATGAAGTTATAAAATACTGGTACGGGAAAAATGTATCAATTGGAACATCTGAAATGCATTATGTATCTGTGTTTCTCTCTCCCAAGGTTACTAAAGGCGAAACCTTGACCTAGCTCCCGTGTGGCTCAGTTGGTAGAGCATGGCGTTTGCAATGCCAGAGTTGTGGGTTCGTTTCCCACGGGGGACCAGTATGAAAAAAAATATATGCAGTTAGTAAGTCGCTCTGGATAAGAGTGTCTGCTAAATGACTAAAATGTAGACCTCCAGATGACTGCTGAAACATGAATACACCACTTTTCCTAATTTTCTGTGAATTATTTTAAACTTACTTACTGTATAGTTTACATTTGGCTTTGCCTAAACATCAGACTTTTACCATGGTTACTACATGGATATCAGTCTGAAAGAAGTTACTGTAAAAATGATGCAATAGTCTCTACAAGACAGAATGTTAACTAAAATGATATTTATACTTACTTTACCTGTTGTACATGCTGTTGGTCCTTTTGGCGGTAGGAGGTGGAGATAGGGTATCCACAGGAAAGTGTTGTTTACCTGACTTTTTGCTGCGCCAGTAGGTTCTGTCGCTTGTATTTTCAATCTATTGACGCATTGCACGTGATGCACAATATGTAGACAATAGCCGAATGTAGTCGACTGAAGCACGTTTCCTCGCAATCAGCTGGAAGTGTTTGCCGTTCGGTTAGGCTCAGCCATATTGTGCAAGTGTTTGTCAAATGCGAATTACATCAGTATTGAAAATAAACCCGGAAATATAAACGATATACAGACCAGCGTACTGAAGGTCGGGTTGATAACACTTCCCTGTGGATATTTTGTATCAGATTACCTCCGACATAGGGACAAAATCGGCGGCCAACAGGTAATGTAAGCTGAAATGAAGTTTGTTCAACATTCTGACTTGTAATGGGACTGTTCTGGAATGCTGAGCCTACATATTAGAGACGAGTGTGTAAGTATTCACTCTCTGATTCTAAAAAGAGGCTCAATTTGGCTCAATTTGTTTAGGACCTTTTTTGTTTGATTCTGAACGTATACCTGACTGTTTTGTGTGTTAACAGTTTTAAACTCCATACTAAATTCATGAGAAGGCTATTTCATAAATTTTTGTTGGTTCAAGCATTTAGTTTATTATGTGCACTCAATCGTAGAATGGAGAAGGAGAAGCTTATCACTCAAGAAATTACTGTACAACTGCATTATTTCTTTATCTTACCAAGTGAATGTCTAAGCATACATCCACCTGTGTTTGAAACATTTGTACAGTTGATTTACCTGCTGTGAATCATGAATGACAAAAATCAAGGTTTTGAGTGGCTTATGTGCCAAGTTGACACTGTTGACGTTTGTGTGTATTTATTAATCTTCTATTACTATCATGGTCATGTTTGTACAGTACATAGTGACTATTGTTTTATGGCAAAAAATAAATACAAAACTAACATTCAAAGTGTAGCTATGTGTCATTTTTTTCCAGACAACATTTTCTTGTAGTAAAGATTATTAATTCTCACACTCACAAGCTCCCTATGTTGCCTTTCATCAAATGTTATAGACCTGTGTGAAATGTTTCAGGCCTGTGAAAACCAGGCGGGGCAGGCTACACCTAGGCTCGTACGAAGACACCTCTTTCCCTTGAAAAAACTTCGTTACCCAACATGCATCGACGTTTTCAACGTTCCAGCCCTAAGCATCTTGGGAAGGAGAAGGTGCTGACGAGTCAAACAGCCATTTTTTCCCTTTGAAATGTGCAAGTCCTTGAATTGTTTTCAAACATATTGGTATAATCTTCTAAAGCTTGTTTAAACTGGTGAGTTAATATGCTTCTGTGTAGTTGTACTCCTATACGTTACTATTTGTGGTCTTGACCTAGGTACCAGCTAGCTCAAGGCAACAGAGTATCAATCAGCAGCTAACGTTAGCTTGACGCGTAGGTCATTGTGTCTCCATCTTGCCTCAGCTAGATCGCTTGTCCGCTGAAAGCAAACTAGCTGACTTGGTTGTATTTACATGCTGGAATAATAATACATTCCTTTTTTTTTCTTGTCCCCCAATTCCATACATCTCCACCCTTTGGTAGTCGTGACAACCATTTGAAATGGGACGGTGAGTATCAATCAGCATAAAAATATTGTAGGTAGTGTCTCGCTAGCAAGTTAACTTAGCTATCTAGCTACTAAAGTTAGCTACAACTACACTTGCTATAATATTTCGGTCAGAGTCATGTAGCTTGCTGATTTTGGCTTATGTATTGTTTACCATTCCATGCTTTGCTAGCACGAACAAGTAAACAACTCTCCTTCCTACTAAACTGGTTAGGGCGTTAGGCAGAGAATCAGTGACATTCAGTATGAGAACGCACAACCCGGTCTCAGAGCATTTCTTATTATTCTCTACGTAAATCCGAGACGTTCCATTTAGTGTAATTTGTTACGTTTAGAATGGCATGTATTCATTTGTGGATGTCCATCACTCATTTCATATGATATGTTACGAATTTGGGAAATGTACAATGTTTAGATTTTGCAAAATATATATGTTTACGAATTCTAACTAGGTGAATAATGTTAGCTAGGCTACGAGTAAGGGTTAAGTTTAGGAGTTAGATTAAAGGGTTAGGGGAAGGGTTAGCCAACATGCTAAGTAGTTGCAACGTAGCTAAAAAGTTGCTCAAGTTGTCTTTGATGAGATTCAAACTCACAACCTTTGGGTTGCTAGATGTTTGTGTTATACGCCCAACCACCCTACTTTCGGTTTTGCCTTAACTAACTATCTGTTTTGTGTAACCATACCAATTGTAACGTATCACACTAATTTGAATGTCCCGAATTTACTATGTTACGTCCAGTCTGAGACCAGGCTGGAACGCAGTGGTTTCTAAGGTAACCCTCTTGACTAAATCCACTAAAGTTTCTGCTTGAAAAATAAATCGGAATTGTAGGGATTACGTTGCCAACTTTGTAAATAAAAGTACTTGGAGGTTATCTTGACCAATATACAATTACATTGGAACCCATTCTTTATTCCTTGGGTGTGTGAATTTTCGATCTGCTTTTGACTGTGTGTATGCCTGATTGTGTGTGCACAGGTTGAGTCGCACAGAGCGTAGCGGCAGATACGGCGGCAACGATCTTGGCCGGGGTGAGTCAGAGTGGCGTGAGAGGGGAGAGCAGGACATGCGCCGATGGGGCGAAGAGAGACACAGCGAACGCTACGATGGAGGAGAACGCCGGGGGAGCAGAGGCAGTCCAGAGGTATGTGTTCCGAGTCAGACGCCCAGTGACATGACTTGTAATGGGAGTGCATCCAAAACCAATCTCATTGACTACTAGTAGAGTCCACTGATCAGGGTCCGGTATTAACGCTGGCCCGGGGCCAGCAAAAACATGTCGGGCCAGTGGATCTCGTCTGTCTGTCCTTACCGGGCCAGTAACTTTTCAGCACATTTTTGTGTTCCAGTTCAACATTTACCTGCTGTGTCTACCATTTGAAAATCATTAAAGACTACAAGCGGAAAAGTCATTTTTTTTATTTGTATTTGAACAATTTGATTGGCCGTTCATTCTAACACGCCATACTCCAGCGAGTCACAACTTTCCGAGCAGTACATGAGTTGATGCCTTCACACAGCACACGCAAGCTGTCCAGAGGAAAAAGAAGCGCCCATCAATCGACTCGCTGAACTTATTTATTTTAGAGGAACGTGATTTACAAAAATAAACCTTCAATAGTGAACATACTATTAAAATGCTGGCTACTGTTGGTAGTCTGCAAAAAGAAAGCTACAAAAAAACACCTAGTCTTGGCTAGCCTACTGTAGACAGGTCGATACCTCCTTCGGAACGTTTGTCTTAAAGGGGCACCGTCCTTTAAAATGTAGCAAATATATTCTCAAAATGACATACTTTAGAAGCAAAAATGAATACAATGCAATTCTAAAGAATAGAGTAATGACTCAGGGGTTGCATAAATACAGAATTCTGCATTTCACATAGGGAAAAAATAACTCCATATGAAATATCTTTGCTGCGTTTTGTAAACACAGATCTAAAATGTTTAATGTAATTTCTGCACTTCATCAGACAAATTTTGTGCTTCAGTTGCACTTCTCCACTCGGATGAAAATTCACGAATGGTCATTATATCAGCAGACAGAGCTCTGATTGATGTGTAGCTACTTTTTCTCCAGTAAAATACAAGATTAACTTCAAGCAAAACATTAGGACATGTAGCTGGCTACGTTCTTTCAATGAAAACATTAGAAATTGACCTTGCTTTTTCATTGTTAGCTCATTTACTTGTGTGGCTGCTAGCCAAGTAGCATTGCACTTATGTTGTCATCTGATGAAAATGAAGCTATTTTCTACGAATGTGTTGCTCTAATGTATTTTCTGTGAAGGAAAACTACACTATATATACAAAAGTATGTGGACACTCCTTCAAATTAGTGAATTTGGCTATTTCAGCCACACCCTTTGCTGACAGGTGTATAAAAGCGAGCACACAGCCATGCAATCTCCATAGACAAACATTGGCAGTAGAATGGCCTTACTGAAGAGCTCAGTGACTTTCAACATGGCACCGTCATAGGATGCCACCTTTCCAACAAGTCAGTTCGTCTCATTTCTGCCCTGCTAAAGCTGCCCCGGTCAATTGTAAGTGCTGTTATTGTGAAGTGGAAACATCTAGGAGCAACAACGGCTCAGCCGCGAAGTGGTAGACCACACAAGCTCACAGAACGGGACAGCTAAAGCGCACAGCACGTAAAAATCGTCTGTCCTCAGTTGCAACACTCACTACGAGTTCCAAACTGCCTCTGGAAGCAATGTCAGCACAAGAACTGTTCGTCTGGAGCTTCATGAAATGGGTTTCCATGGCTGAGCAGCTGCACACAAGCCTAAGATCACCATGCGCAATGCCAAGCGTCGACTGGAGTGGTGTCAAGCTCGCCGCCTTTGGACTCTGGAGCAGTGAAATGCGTTCTCTGGGGTGATGCTTCACCATCTGGCAGTCTGACAGCCAAATCTGGGTTTAGCGGATGCCAGGAGAACCCTACCTGCCCCAATGCATAGTTCCAACTAACGTTTGGTGGAGGAGGAATAATGGTCTAGGGCTGTTTTTCATGTTTCGGGCTAGGCCCCTTAGTTCCAGTGAAGGGAAATCTTAGCGCTACAGCATACAATGACATTCTAGACAATTCTATGCTTCCAACTTTGTGGCAACAGTTTGGGAAAGGCCCTTTACTGTTTCAGCATGACAATGTCCCCGCGCACAAAGCAAGGTCTATACAGAAATGGTTTGTGGAGATCGGTGTGGAAGAACTTGACTGGCCTGCACAAAGCCCTGACCTCAACCCCATCGAACACCTTTGAGATGAATTGGAACGCTGACTGCGAGCCAGGCCTAATAGCCCAACATCAGTGCCCGACCTCACTAATGCTGTTGTGGCTGACTGGAAGCAAGTCCCCGCACCAACTCCATATTAATGCCCATGATTTTGGAATGAGATGTTCTCAAGTAAGAATTTTGCTAGGACTGACTGGGAGTGGTCTGAGGGATTTTTAACCTGAACTGGCTGTAATTGACAGAGATGAGGGCAAACTCTTTATTGGTCTATTAACTTATGACATCACCAGGTGGTTCAAAACCCCCACCCAGCCAAACAATCTGACATTTCAGGCAGTCTTTTCAAACAGCTCTTACACTAAAAGTGTATTATCATAATTTTCACAATTTCAGTGTTATTCCAACCTCACCACTTCTACTCACAAGCCATAAGACTGCTAAATTAGCCAGACTGCTGAGTAGTCAATTAATGGTAACAAGCTACCTTGCACTGACCCTGTGCACACAAACTAGACTATATAGTCACACACACTACATTGACAATCCCACACACATTCACTACATACGCACACACGCATAACACAGACACACATACCAACAACACAAACACATGCGTACACATTACACACACACACTTTTACTCATTTGCAGCTGCTACTCTGTTCTTTATTCGTACTCTTATCTATCCTGATGCCTAGTCACTTTACCCTGCCTTCATGTACATATACAGTACCTGTCTAAAGTTTGGACACACCTACTCATTCAAGGGTTTGTCTTTATTTTGACTATTTCCTACATTGTAGAATAAAAGTGAAGACATCAAAACTATGAAATAACACATGGAATCATGTAGTAACCAAAAACGTGTTAAACAAATCAAAATATATTTGAGATTCTTAAAATAGCCACCCTTTACCTTGATTACAGCTTTTCACACGCTTGTCATTCTCTCAACCAGCTTCACCTGGAATGTTCCCACATATGCTAAGCACTTGTTGGCTGCTTTTCCTTCACTCTGCCGTCCGACCCATCCCAAACCATCTCAATTGGGTTGAGGTCGGGTGATTGTGGAGGCCAGGTCATCTGATGCATGCTGTGGTAGCCATGCTTGTTAAGTGTGCCTTGAATTCTAAATAAATCACAGACAGTGTCAACAGCAAAGTACCCCCACACCATAACACCACCTGCTCCATGCTTTACGGTGGGAACAAAACATGCAGAGATCATCCTTTCATCCACACCACATCTTACAAAGACACGGTAGTTGGAACCAAAAATCTCCAATTTGGACTCCAGACCAAAGGACAGATTTCCACCAGTCGAATGTCCATTGCTCGTGTTTCTTGGCCCAAGCATGTCTTTTCTTCTTATTGGTGTCCTTTAGTAGTGGTTTCTTTGCAGGAATTCGACCATGAAGGCCTGATTCACACAGTCCCCTCTGAACAGTTGATGTTGAGATGTGTCTGTGACTTGAACTCTGAAGCATTTATTTGGGCTGCAATTTCTGAGGCTGGTAACTCTAATGAACTTATCCTCTGCAGCAGAGGTAACTCTGGGTCTTCCATTCCTGTGGTGGTCCTCATGAGCGCCAGTTTCATCACAGCTCTTGATTGTTTTTGCGACTGCACTTTAAGAAACGTTCAAAGTTCTTGAAATGTTCCGTATTGACTGACCTTCATGTCTTAAAGTAATGATGGACTGTCGTTTCTCTTTGCCTATTTGTGCTGTTCTTGCCGTAATATGGACTTGGTCTTTTACCAAATAGGGCTATCTCCTGTATACCACCCCTACCTTGTCACAACACAACTGATTGGCTCAAACGCATTAAGAAGGAAAGAAATTCCACAAATTAACTTTTAACATGGCACACCTGTTAATTGAAATGCATTCCAGGTGACTACCTCATGAAGCTGCTTGAGAGAATGTCAAGTGTGCAAAGCTGTCATCAAGGCAAAGGGTGGCTATGTGAAGATTCTCAAATATAAAATATATCTTGATTTGTTTAACACTTTTTTTTGTTACTACATGATTCCATATGTGTTATTTCATAGTTTTGATGTCTTCACTATTATTCTACAATGTAAAAATTAAGAAATACCCTTGAATGAGTAGGTGTGTCCAAACCTTTGACTGGTAGTGTATACCTCATACACCTGCACATTGATCTTGTACTCTCTGTATATAGCTCCATTCTTGTATATTTTATTTATCTTGTGTTACAACTACACCAGTTGTTTTTGGCGCATATGACATATAACCTTTCATTTGAATATATATATTTGAAGTCGGAAGATTACATACACTTAGGTTGGAGTCATTAAAAGTCATTTTTCAACACACACACACACACACACACACACACACATACAGTGGCTTGCAGAAGTATTCACCCCGCTTGGCATTTTTCCTATTTTGTTGCCTTACAACCTGGAATTAAAATGTATTTTTGGGGGGTTTGTATCATTTGATTTACACAACATGCCTACCACTTTGAAGATGCAAATTTTTTGTATTGTGAAACAAACAAGAAATAAGACAAAAAAACAGAACTTGAGCGTGCATAACTATTCACCCCCCCAAAGTCAATACTTTGTAGAGCCACCTTTTGCAGCAATTACAGCTGCAAGTCTCTTGGTGATTGACTCTATAAGCTTGGCACATTTAGCCACTGGGATTTTTGCCCGTTCTTCAAGGTAAAACAGCTCCAGCTCCTTCAAGTTGGATGGGTTCCGCTGGTGTACAGCAATCTTTAAGTCATACCACAGATTCTCAATTGGATTGAGGTCTGGGCTTTGACTAGGCCATTCCAAAACATGTAAATGTTTCCCCTTAAACCACTCGAGTGTTGCTTTAGCAGTATGCTTAGCGTCATTGTCCTGCTGGAAGGTGAACCTCCGTCCCAGTCTCAAATCTCTTGAAGACTGAAACCGGTTTCCCTCAAGAATTTCCCTGTATTTTTAGGCCGTCCATCATTCCTTCAATTCTGACCAGTTTCCAAGTCCCTGCCGATGGAAAAATATCCCCACGGCATGATGCTGCCACCACCATGCTTCACTGTGGGGATGGTGTTCTCGGGGTGATGAGAGGTGTTGGGTTTGCGCCAGACATAGCGTTTTCCTTGATGGCCAAAAAGCTCAATTTTAGCCTCATCTGACCAGAGTACCTTCTTCCATATGTTTGGGGTGTCTCCCACATGGCTTTTGGTGAACACCAAACGTGTTTGCTTCTCTTTTTATTTAAGCAATGGCTTTTTTCTGGCCACTCTTCCGTAAAGCCCAGCTCTGTGGAGTGTACGGCTTAAAGTGGTCATATGGGCAGATACTCCAATCTCCGCTGTGGAGCTTTGCAGCACCTTCAGGGTTATCTTTGGTCTCTTTGTTGCCTCTGATTAATGCCCTCCTTGCCTGGTCTGTGAGTTTTCGTGGGCGGCCCTCTCTTGGCAGGTTTGTTGTGGTGCCATATTCTTTCCATTTTAAAATAATGGATTTAATGGTGCTCTGTGGGCTGTTCAAAGTTTCAGATTTTTTTTTTATAACCCAACCCTGATCTGTATTTTGTCTTATTTAGGGGCTTCATAGCAAGTGGGGTGAATACATATGCACGCACCAGTTATTTTTTTCTTGTGTATGTCCATTACATGAAATCCAAATAAAAATCAATTTAAATTACAGGTTGTAATGCAACAAAATAGGAAAAACGCCAAGTGGGACTGTGTGTGAATGTATATGTAACACGAGAAAATCACGTTTTCAACTGCACTGCCGCTTTAACACATATTATAATAACCAAATGTAGCCCGTTTAATAGCTGAATATGGAGAGAAGGCATGCCAATCTATAGGCCCTGCATGACCCTAATGCATTTAAGAACTATACAATGTCCTGGCCTGTAGAAATTCTGTTCTGGACAGTAGAGTTTTGACAATTTGGGCCAGTGAAAAACAAAGTTGGTGTTGGACCCTGCTGATGCACACTGTTTTATCGACTCCAGCAGAGAGCCCGTAAGCGACGGAACAGCGATAGATCTGAAGACTGCTACCACTCTGATGGAGACTACCCTGAGCAAGAATACAGGGAGGAGCCAGGGGAGGAGAAGGAGAGCAAGACTATCATGCTCCGGGGCCTGTCTCTTCACGTCACAGAGGGAGATGTAAGTTCTTCTTTCTCTGCTGTAGACCCACCACCTGTCTGTCATGTGGTTTGGTTGGCTGCCATTTTCTCTGCAAAGAGGAGGGGGGGGGGACAAAAATGTTTGGCTAATTTCTGCGAAGAGTAGGTTATACAGTGACACTAAAGGAGACATTAGTAACTATGTATAATGTCAAGTGAAACATGTTCCAGAACTTAGGGCTACGTATTTAATGTCTGTCCTTCTCTTGCCTTACAGATCCGAGCTGCCCTGGACCAGCTGGAGGGACCCCAGCCAATAGATGTCCGTCTAATGAAAAAGAGGACAGGTGAGACCCAGGCGTACCACGCAGTCCCTCCTTTCTCCCACACTATATTTGATTACAGGGCCAATCTGCTTCAATTGACTTCAGTTTTGCCATAGCAACATAAACATCTGAAATCGTTAAGAATGAATGTCGAGCGAAGAAACAATATTTTATATTCTGTTAAGATGTGGAGCGAAAAGGTAAGTAAGAAAGGGCATCAGCCAGCCAAGCTGTTTCAAATGAGAGAAAAAAACATCATAGAGGCACACTGTATGTATGGTCCAGTGTCATCCTGCATTATTTCTTGCTATGGCAAAACCCAAAAGGAAGGGCCCACTGTTTGCCATACTGAGCCCTGAAGCAGTTTGTGACAGTTTGAATGTTGTGCTCATGGACTCTAACACTCCTCCCGTCTATATTTGAATGCTGTCTCTAGGTATAAGCCGAGGTTTCGTCTTCGTGGAGTTTTATCACTTGCAAGATGCTACCCGATGGATGGAGACCAATCAGGTTTCTTCACAATCGCCAAGTCTAGTTTTTTTTTACCTTGGGGCTCTGAAAAAAGACAACTAAATGGCAACCAAAGTTATATGAATAAGAACTGAGGTTTTGAAGCAAATTTGGATTTAAGTTGGAGAATACAATATTGGAATCTGAATATGGTATCCAGAAAGACTGCATGGTTTTACAGGTTTATTTAGCCTTTCACTGATCCTACTCAGATCCCCCCCCCCCCCCCCCATATTTTCAGGGTGTAAGACTTAAGATTTTAAGACCTTCAATGTAAATATAAATTTAACCATGTAGCCTAATTTAACGGAAACTTAACTTAAAACACTTGATTTTCAAACCAACTTTGAGATGATAGTACCTTTCAATCTGGTTTGTAAGAGTTTTCTGATTTAAAAAGAAATGGCTGAAGGCCATCGGGGGGACAAATAGTGCATTTTTACTCTTTATAGCCCATTGGCCTCCACATTTTTTCTTTTGAGTTCATTGATTTATGCTGTGCTTTTTAGCAAATAAATGTTCATCCAATGTCTGTTGTGGGAAGCTTATCCCTGGTTCTAGGAAAGCTGATCAAAATATTGCTCATGTTAATATTATACACACTGCTCCGGCTCAGTCTGGATGCTCGGGTCCCAAACACCTTAAGAATCCTCTGTACACAAGCTCGCATACACATCCTTCAGTCTGTCTTCGACACAAACGCCAACCGGGGGTCCCATTCCCCTTCCCTGCCTGCCAGCACTGCTTGTTCTTTGGTTGCAGCTAGAGTGAGACCTGTGCCAGCCAGGAAGCTTGAAATGACCAACATTTTCAACCCCCTCTTGCAGAAACTGCTGTTCATCCAAGGCAAGAGTGTGGCCATGCACTACAGCATCCCCCGGCACAAGTTTGAAGACTGGCTCTGCAACACTGTAAGTTTCTGCTGTGGCTTGTCTACATGTCCAACTCTGCTGCCCACACTATATTTACCTTCCACTCCTATCTGAAATGCTTTAGTGACAACGTTAGGCCCTCAATTGTTAGTTACCTTACAGTCCAGAATGAGCTCCTGCCAAATGAGTTTGAGCACGTCGTTAGGTGTAGGGATCCCTGATTTCATTAGTTGCCAGGGTGAGCGTTTGGCTCAGGTAAGTACCGTATGCTGCACCGCTGTTAGTTTGCTATTCATCTGAGGCAGCAGTGTCCTGGACAAAAGTAGCTGTATTATCAATAAAAATTATGTGACCGGTTGCTTGCAGTGCGGCCTGTACAATTTCCGGAGGAGGCTGAAGTGCTTCAGGTGTGGAGCAGCTAAAGCTGGTAAGTAGTTCCTGAACCAGGAAGCCACTGCCTGCACCCATCTGGATGGCCTGAGACAATGTTCAGGCAAGGGGGGCTGCGCACAGGAGCAGTACAGAATACTGATATATCTATACGTTAGAAATGCCAACCCTACTATCACGTCTGTCATCATGGCCCCATAAACACTGACCAATCATATTCCTTAGTATTGTGAGCAAATTAGATTTAGCTGAAAACGCACGTGAGAATTGACGTGCGGAATAGCGAGGATGTCAAATCCCTGTGGAGCAGAAACATTTTTCATGTCCTGGACTCTGTCGTGGGTACTGAGGGTGAGGCGACGCTAATGCCCTGCTCTCATTCTGTCTGCCTCTCTCAACAGAGTGTGAGACCACCAACACCACTGGAGTCACAGAGATCCAGCAGTGTGGAGACTACTACGGCGACAGTGAGTACTTCTCTCCACAGACACACACCTATGATGTCCTATCAGATGTTATTGGGAGGGGGTTTGTGGAGAGCCAGTGAGAATTTATACTGTGTGTGTGCGCTTGTCCTCTCCAGCAATCATCCTGAGGAACATAGCCCCTCTGACCACGGTGGAGGGCATCCTGACAGCCCTGGCCCCCTACGCCAACCTGTCACCCAGCAACATCCGTCTCATCAAGGACAAACAGACGGGCCAGAACAGAGGCTTCACCTTTGTACAGCTCTCCTCCCCTCTGGTACGCCAGCCTTTAAGCAGATGTCTCCACATATACATATGATATGGTCTTTGATTTGAGTTTCTCTACAGAACATCCTCTAACTTCATTGATGTCCCTTTTGATTGTGAATGGCCATATTGCTTGACTGGTGCTTCTCCTCTTTGGCTTGTTTTAGTGGAATCTGTATACATTTTTCTAAGTGCTTTGTTTTTTTTCTGCATCACAGGAGGCGTCTCAGCTCCTAACCATCCTACAAGGACTACAGCCTCCTCTCAAGCTGGATGGGAAGACCATTGGTGTGGACTATGCCAAGAGTGCCAGGAAGTGAGTGTCCTGTCACAGAGATGTCAGTGGTTTTCAGTGAATGATGTCCTCAGAGGACATTGAGATGGCAGCGTCTCCCTAATCTCTACTCTCCTCTCGTCAGGGATCTCTTGCTCCCAGACGGTAACCGGATCAGTGCCTTCTCTGTGGCCAGCACAGCCATCGCTGCCGCCCAGTGGTCCTCCAGCCAGGTAACACACACACACCTCTCACATTCAGCTGTGAGGTTTTGTTTTGCCACACACACACACTAAGAAGCAGTGTATTCCTTCCTAGCCTCAGCAGGTTGCTGAAGGACATCTGTCAGAGTACAGCTACCTAGAGGAGGGCTACGCTCCCTACACACAGGTATGATGATCAGAGGGATGGTTATCCCCGTCTGGAAATCCCTGGGATGTATTGCAGATGCTCCAGTGTATGATGTGTGACTGACTGTTCCTTTCTGTGTTGCTAGGACTACCAAGCCTACTACCAGCAGGCAGCAGGAGACCCTTCCCAGGGGAACGGAATACTGGGAGGTATGAGGCAACATACAGTCTGCAATTCATTCCGTGTCGATGCCTTTAATAACGTTCTGATTTGAGGAGGATCAGCTGCTGTCTGTTTCCAAAAGAGGTGTTGCTAATAGCATGTAATGAAGCCTGGGTGTCTTCTATTCACAGCGGCTCCAGGTGTCCCAGCGGCTACAGGAGTGGTGATCTCACAGGGTGCACGGGTCTACCAACCCAACCTAATCAGTCACACTGCCACACAAGTAAGTCCTATGTATTTCACATATGAGCCTGTCACTACACACACAGCCTTATTTACTGCACTACTCACAGTATGCTCGCTGTAAAGATTCCCACAATTACCAATTGTGTCTTTGCAGGTGCTGCAATTGGCCCAGCAAACGGAAGCCAAACAGACCGGAATTCACTCGGCAGCTGCAACCATGACAGCGCCGGTTTCCACAGCAACAGCCCCAGCGACACTTTCTGGACTGGCCACTGACACAGGTAAGAGCCTCACTCACCTGTCTGACTGACTGACATTGCAGGTTCCAGTGCAGAATGGAAAACAATAGAAACTTAGTGGAATGCTTTCACATTTAAAATGTTCTACTCTGTTCAAGCCAAGTGTTTGACTCTTTTAATATTCCATACTCTGTCTTCATCCACAGCTGTACCTGACACCTCCACCTACCAGTATGACGAATCCTCTGGCTTCTACTTCGACCCTCAGACCGGCCTCTACTACGACCCAAATACCCATGTTAGTACCCACACACCAGTCAGTGTCTTCTGTTGCTGTTCTGAATTGTTCCACAATGCTGTCGGAGTTGTGAAGACGTGGTCTGTGGATGTATGTGTTTTGACAGTTGTAGTTTCTCCTCTCCTCCAGTACTACTACAACTCCCAGACACAGCAGTACCTCTACTGGGACAGTGAGAAGCAGACGTACATCCCTGCCTCAGCCGCCGACCAAACTGAGCAGACTGCGAACGCAGCAGCAGCTAGCAACGAGGCTAAGGAATCCAAGGAGAGGAAACAAGACAAGCCCAAGAGCAAGACAGCTCAGCAGGTAGGCAGAGGAGACAGAGATCACCTCGGATATCAAGACAGTATAACTTTAGATTTGCGATAATTGTGTGTAGTTTGTTCAAGTTTCAACTGTTTGTCCCAGAGAGGGCAATTGGTTTTGCAGCAGAGGAGCACACGTGACTTAACACACATCAAATCCACATGGATTACAGTGATACACAGTGATCCAGCTGAATACCGTGGTTGGTGTGTCTGACTGCGTTGTTCTGGTTGGCCTTTCAGATTGCTAAGGACATGGAGCGATGGGCGAAGAGTCTGAACAAGCAGAAGGAGAACTTTAAGACCAGCTTCCAGCCCGTCAGCCAGGAGGAGAGGAAGGAGGCAGCGGCCGCCGACGCAGGCTTCACACTATTCGAGAAGAAGGTAGCCATTTTAAGTCTATCCATGATAGCTTGAATCCTTTAGAAAACCCATCCAGGAAAACTTAAGATTGACTTGACGGCAGATTGACGATGTGGACTGAATAGTGTTATGGTGTGACTTTGCAGCAGGCTGGAAGCTTGGAAATGCTGATGTCAGAAGCTGTTCAGTGCCCTGAGGAGAAGGCCCCAACCAACTCAGCGAAGGTAAGATACTGATAGTAGACTCAAATGTATGAGCTGTAATTTTAGAGGACATCTTCCAGTCTGGGAAGGTAGCTACTTACCATCTGGTTGTGTCCTTCTCCAGGTTGGTCTGGTGGCAGCCTACAGTGGAGACAGTGACCCAGAGGAGGGGGGTGCAGCAGAGCCGGAGCGTAGTGGTGGTGAGCAGGACCAGCTGACAGACTGGAAGAAGATGGCCTGCCTGCTGTGTAGGAGACAGTTCCCCAATAAGGACGGCCTGGTGCGCCACCAGCAGCTCTCAGACCTCCACAAGGTACTTATCACAGACTCCAAGGAAGAACTCCACGATAGTCCACTCACTCAACTGTTATGAAAATCTAATATGGGAAAGGAAGAGCTTGATACAGTATGTGTGAATAAAGTGGAAAGGTCTTTAACTTATTTTTCTTCTTATCCCAGCAAAACCTGGAGGTCCACCGCAGATCTAAGCTGAGTGAGGCTGAGCTGGAGGAGCAGGAGAGGAGAGAGACAGAGGTAACGGCTCAGACATAGAGACTACGCTGGTCTAACTGTTTTAGTTGGGGTTCAGTTAATAGAAACCCTGTTATTAGGTTTGTTTCTACATTCTCTCTCTCTCTCTCTCTCTCTCTCTCTCTCGCGCTCTCTCGCTCTCTCGCTCTATGAACAGATGAAGTACAGGGACCGGGCTGCAGAGAGGAGAGAGAAATACGGCATCCCTGAACCCCCAGCACCCAAGAAGAAGAATTTCACCGCACAGCCGGCACCAGTCATGTAAGTGCTAGTGTTAAGCCGTGCTCATACTTGTTAAGCCTTGTTCACATTGGCAGTTTAAAGTGACTCAAATCCATTGTTATTTTGCATATCTTATTCGAATCTGTTCTTTTTCCTGCAGTCTGAACAGCCAAAAAGTACATATTCCAAGCCATATTTCAAACCACCTTCATAGGTGGTTTGAAATCAGATACAAATCTGATTCCTGGCCATGTGACTTGTCTGAACGGTCAGATCTGATTTATTTGCCCTCAAGTGGTTTCTAAACAGTTATTTTGAATGTTTTTGCTTGCTACCTACTCTGACAGTTTGACAAGAACCATGTGAATGTGCTAAACAGCTAGCTAGTTGACTGCTGTGGCTAGCCAAAAAGGACTCGTTTTGAAGGTTGGTTCATCTTATCCTTTGAGGCGTGAAGTGTTCTTCCACTATGATTTTGAACAATCAAAGGAACTGGGAAACTTCCATGGCAGGTATTGTCACCTTAGCGTGCTACTTAACTTCTGAGTGATAGGAAGCATGAGCACTGCAACCAATCAGCCTATACCATTGCACACACACCCGTCGTTACTATGACAACTAGCGTAGCCATGTCAGCAAATGACTGCTGTCTGAACACACACATCTGATTTGGTCACTTGTAACTTGCTGTTTGGACAGTCAATATTCCAAAACGGATTTGAAAAACAAAACTGTTTTGAGTATTAAGGCCTGCAGTGTGAACAAGGCATACTTTGACTCAATAACCTACAGTGATGTTCTGTGAAATTTGATTTGGGTAATAAGGATTGTCGTGTCATTTCCCCCTGCTCCTCTGCAGTAACTATGAACAACCCACCAAGGACGGGCTGAACAGTGACAACATAGGGAACAAGATGCTGCAGGCCATGGGATGGCAGGAGGGCAGAGGTCTGGGCCGCAACCAGCAGGGCATCACTGCACCTATTGAGGTGAATCTCGTCCAGTTATACCTGTAATAGTGCTGCTTTAACCCAAAAGCTAAACATAATGAAACTGTTAAGATATCTTTCATATACAACAAGTCTGTAAAAATGCAGAGACGTGGTAGTGGTAACACTCCCCGGCACGTCACATATACAACTTCCCACCGGAGACCAGGGTTCAATCCCTGGGCACACCCTTACCACTGTTTCTTCCACTTACCTTTCTCTCCACCTCGTTTCCTTACTGTGTGTGAGTGAGAGAGAGAGGTGTGTGTGAACAGTAACCTGGGGAAGGTGTTCTGTAGTATTATAAATGTAAGAGTTCTAAACTTACTTAATAATCAAAATGTCTTGAGTAAATGCCAAATTGGATTTATACCAAAACATCGCACGACCGATCATATTTACACCCTGATAGATAAACATGTCCACCAAAATAATACCAACATGTACGCTTGCTTTATCGACTTCCAAAAAGCATTTGATTCTATTTGGCATACAGGACTGTTCTACAAAATTATTGAAAGTGGTGTAGGGGGTAAAACATATGACATAATTAATTCAATGTATGCTGGCAATACCTGCAGCATCAAAATTGGCAAGAAAATAACACATTTCTTTAACCAGAGGCGGGGCCTTCGCCAGGGTTGCAATCTGAGCCCTGTACTCTTCAATATTTACATAAACGAATTGGCCACTATTCTAGAACAATCCTCAGCCCCTGATGTTAGTCTCCACAATTCAGTGGTTAAATGCCTGCTTTTCGCAGATGACCTGTGCCTGCTGTCACCCACAGCACATGGCCTACAGCAGAGCCTGGACCTGCTAGAGCAGTACTGCCAGACCTGGGCCCTGGCAGTAAACCCCAAAAAGACTAAAATAATGATTTTCCAGAGAAGATCCAGATCTCAGGGAATTAGACCAAAGTTCTCAATTGGTACAAAATACACTGCTCAAAAAAATAAAGGGAATACTTAAACAACACAATATAACTCCAAGTCAATCACACTTCTGTGAAATCAAACTGTCCACTTAGGAAGCAACACTGATTGACAATAAATTTCACATGCTGTTGTGCAAATGGAATAGACAACAGGTGGAAATTATAGGCAATTAGCAAGACACCCCCAATAATGAAGTGGTTCTGCAGGTGGTGACCACAGACCACTTCTCAGTTCCTATGCTTCCTGGCTGATGTTTTGGTCACTTTTGAATGCTGGCGGTGCTTTCACTCTAGTGGTAGCATGAGATGGAGTCTACAACCCACACAAGTGGCTCAGGTAGTGCAGCTCATCCAGGATGGCACATCAATGCGAGCTGTGGCAAGAAGGTTTGCTGTGTCTGTCAGCGTAGTGTCCAGAGCATGGAGGCGCTACCAGGAGACAGGCCGGTACATCAGGAGACGTGGAGGAGGCCGTAGGAGGGCAACAACCCAGCAGCAGGACTGCTACCTCCACCTTTGTGCAAGGAGGAGCAGGAGGAGCACTGCCAGAGCCCTGCAAAATTACCTCCAGCAGGCCACAAATGTGCATGTGTCTGCTCAAACGGTCAGAAACAGACTCCATGAGGGTGGTATGAGGGCCCGACGTCCACAGGTGGGGGTTGTGCTTACAGCCCAACACCGTGCAGGACGTTTGGCATTTGCCAGAGAAAACCAAGATTGGCAAATTCGCCACTGGCGCCCTGTGCTCTTCACAGATGAAAGCAGGTTCACGCTGAGCACATGTGACAGACGTGACAGTCTGGAGACGCCGTGGAGAACGTTCTGCTGCCTGCACCATCCTCCAGCATGACCGGTTTGGCGGTGGGTCAGTCATGGTGTGGGGTGGCATTTCTTTGGGGGGCCGCACAGCCCTCCATGTGCTCGCCAGAGGTAGCCTGACTGCCATTAGGTACCGAGATGAGATCCTCAGACCCCTTGTGATACCATATTCTGGTGCGGTTGGCCCTGGGTTCCTCCTAATGCAAGACAATGCTAGACCTCATGTGGCTGGAGTGTGTCAGCAGTTCCTGCAAGAGGAAGGCATTGATGCTATGGACTGGCCCGCCCGTTCCCCAGACCTGAATCCAATTGAGCACATCTGGGACATCATGTCTCGCTCCATCCACCAACGCCACGTTGCACCACAGACTGTCCAGGAGTTGGCTGATGCTTTAGTCCAGGTCTGGGAGGAGATCCCTCAGGAGACCATCCGCCACCTCATCAGGACAATGCCCAGGCGTTGTAGGGAGGTCATACAGGCACGTGGAGGCCACACACACTACTGAGCCTCATTTTGACTTGTTTTAAGGACATTACATCAAAGTTGGATCAGCCTGTAGTGTGGTTTTCCACTTTAATTTTGAGGGTGACTCCAAATCCAGACCTCCATGGGTTGATACATTTGATTTCCATTGATAATTTTTGTGTGATTTTGTTGTCAGCACATTCAACTATGTAAAGAAAAAAGTATTTAATAAGATTATTTCATTCATTCAGATCTAGGATGTGTTGTTTAAGTGTTCCCTTTTTTTTTTTTGAGCAGTGTATATAGAGTACTGCATACACTACAATTACTTAGGTTTAAAAATAAGCGGAACTGGACACCTTAATGATGCAGTGAATGAACTGAGAGAGAAAGCACACAGGGCATTCTACGCCATTAAAAACAAAAACAAATTCTAATTGAAATACCTATCAAAATGTGCCTAAAACTAATTGAATGTGTCATTGAACCAATTGCACTTTATGGCGTCGAGGTGTGGGGTCCACTTGCAAAACAAGATTTCACCCAATGGGACAAACACCCCATTGAAACCCTGCATGCAGAGTTCTGTAAGATTCTCTTACATGTCCAGAGGAAAACTACAAACAATGCATGCAGGGCAGAATTAGGCCAATATCCACAAACAGTAAAAACTCAAAAAATAGCAATTTAAGTTTTGGAAACATCTAAAATACAGTGACCCCCTCTCATATCATTACCAAGCCCTGCAATGCCAAGAGCTGAGCAAAGAAAATAGTCCCCTCATCCAGCTGGTCATGGGGCTGAGTTCACAAACCTGCTCTACTAACACACTGAAGGACCAGAACATCCAATCAGAATAAACCAAATTACAACACAGTCAAAACAAAACTACATTGCTTATTGGGAAACACAAGCACAAAGCAAAATGCAGTGCTATCTCGCCCTAAATCGACAGTACACCGTGGCAAACTATTTGACCATGGTTACTGATCAAAACCTTAGAAAAACTTTGACAAAGTACAGGCTCAGTGAGCACAGCCTTGCCATTGAGAAGGGTAGAAAACCTGGCTCCCTGTAGAGGAAAGGCTGTGCAACCACTGCACCACAGCAGAACCCGAGACAGAGCTGCATTTCCTGACAAAATGTCAAAAATATAAAACAATTAGTGTCATTTCCCCAAATATGAAACCCTTATTCAAGGTTTCAAAGACCTCTCTGATGAGGATAGGCTACCCGTCCTGTTGGGGGAGGATGCAGAGAGCTGTGGGTTGGCAGCACACTACATTGCTGCCTGCCATAAGATGAGGGACCGTGTCTGACAGACCAACCAACCTGCACATGTCCTCTATGCTTATTGTTATTGTTCAATGTATGGTTATTTTGACCCTTGGTTACTGTTGTCCCGTTGACAATATTGAGTATTATTAATTATGTTCATATTGTAAATCTCCAAAGTAAGCTTTGGCAAGATGTACATTGTTACGTCACGCCAATAAAGCAAATTGAGTCAGAGAGAATATATATTCCAGTATCGTATTGCTTTACTGATCTCAGGCCTGCTGTCATCTCCCTACAGGCTCAGCTGAGGGCGAAGGGAGCTGGTCTGGGAACCAAAGGCAGCAGCTACGGCCTGTCTGCCTCCGACACCTACAAAGACGCTGTCCGCAAAGCCATGTTTGCCCGCTTCACTGAAATGGAGTGATTTGCCCTATCCACCTGCCTCTCAAGAACAGCCCTATCCTTCTGGTCCTAGGTTCCCTTCCTTTATGTGTGGGGCCATCACCATCATCCATGGGCATCCTAACATCCTTCCCTACAGTCATCCAATCGAAGACACCTTGAGATGAGCTGAAGGGATTGTAATGGCGGCATGGAGAAGATGATACACTCAATAAGGGGATTGGAGGGAGTTTACTGTACTCATTAGTCTACCAGGGAATAGAGGTCTAGAGAAAGGACTGGTCTTTATTAGAGAAAGTGTAAAACGATGAATTATGTAACTTATGATTTGTATATGTGTATGTGTATATATGTATGTGTATATATGTGTATATATATATGCACAGTACATTATTTCCTTCTGTAAGAATGAAGATAGACATGCTTTTCTCCCTCTTTTGCTGTGGCGATAGTATTTTGGCGGCATGTTTAAATTATTGTACAGTCTGTATGATATGCATTCTCATTTTGTACAGAAAATATTAAATGAGATTTATCACTCAATTTGTGTGGAACATTGGTTGTAAGTGATGAGCATAGCTCCCCAGGTATTTTGCACTTACAGTGCTGTGAAAAACTATTTGCCCCCTTTCTAATTTTCTCTACTTTTGCATATTTGTGATACAGAATGTTATCAGATCTTCAACCAAAACCTAATTTATTTCATAAACAAAGTTATGCAACTCTCAATTCCCCTGTGTGAAAAAGTAATTGCCCCCTTACACTCAATAACAGGTTGTGCCACCTTTAGCTGCAATGACTCCAACCAAATGCTTCCTGTAGTTGTTGATCAGTCTCTCACGTCGCTGTGGAGGAATTTTGGCCCACTCTTCCATGCAGAACTGCTTTAACTCAGTGACGTGTGGGTTTTCAAGAATGAACTGCTCGTTTCAAGTCCTGCCACAACCTCTCAATTGGGATTAGGTCTGGACTTTGACTAGGCCATTCCAAAACTTCCAATTTGTTGCTTTTTAGCAATTTTCATGTAGACTTGATTGTGTGTTTTGGAGCATTGTCTTGCTGCATGACCCAGCTGCGCTTCAGCTTCAGCTCACAGACGGATGGTCTGACATTCTCCTGTAGAATTCTCTGATACAGAGCCGAATTCATGGTTCCTTCTATTGAAACCCACACGTCACTGAGTTAAAGCAGTTCTGCATGGAAGAGTGGGCCACAATTCCTCCACAGCGAAGTGAGAGACCACTGCATGAAGCATTTGGTTGGAGTCATTGCAGCTAAAGGTGGCACAACCAGTTATTGAGTGTAAGGGAGCAATTACTTTTTCACACAGGGGAATTGGGTGTTGCATAACTTTGTTTATGAAATAAATATGTAATTGTGTTATTTGTTCACTTATGTTCCCTTTATCTAATATTAGGTTTTGGTTGAAGATCTGATAACATTCAGAATCACAAATATGCAAAAGTAGAGAAAATTAGAAAGGGGGCAAATACTTTTTCACAGCAATATATATATAGTGCAGTACAGTGCAATGACTGTAAGTCGCTCTGGATAGGTCTCTGCTAAATTACCAAAATGTTAATGTACAGAAGATGTTCAACTTTGTATCCTTAACATTTATGAGTTCAATACAAGGTTAATTAACTTGGATAAAATGCAGTCTAGAGTCACATACCAAACCTGGCTGCTCGACCAGTCAGAACGGAGACAAAACAATGAGGAACTCCGGAATACGTTTAAAGTGTGTGGGCTCAGCTCTCTGAATTCAACCCTCTAGGGTCACATTTCCCCTGAAGCAGGGCCCCTTCATTTGATTTAAACCTAAAATAGTTATTCAAATGCAGTCCACCCCAACCTCCCCGTCTTCCTCTCCTCTTACCACATGCATGGCCATTCTACCAGACTCAAGCTAGAGAGTACTGAACTACCTGATACCAATTTTCCATCAGGACCTACCTGGTGTCTCACTACCAGGTAATGCCGTTCCTCTCCTCCCTGGTGCCTCACTACCAGGTAATGCCATTCCACTCCATGGGGCTTTTTAGCAGCCTGGGGGAGCTCATTTACTAGGGTTAGCATTGTTGAAAGGATTCAATTTATGAAAGCCCCTTTTACTCTTCTGGATCTGACTAGATACAGTTATTTGCCTTTGTTCTTGATATCAATTGCTGTCCAATGGACTGGCTAGTGTGGTGCTGTAGTTTGGGTCTGGTTCCAAAGACTATAATGAGGTCCCATTCTGCACACAGCTGGGACAAGAGCAGTGACGAGTAGTAATTGTTTTGCTCGAAAGCAACATTGATGAACAATTACTAACTGTTGTCTATGGAAATTCTAGTTCTGACAGTCAGAATCGGGGTCTACAGTGCCGTGAAAAAGTATTTGCCCCCTTTCTAATTTTCTCTACTTTTGCTTTTTTTATATACTGAATTATCAGATCTTCAGCCAAAACCTAATATTAAATAAAGGGAACCTGAGTGAACAAATAACACTGTTATGTACTTATTTCATTTCATAAACAAAGTTATGCAACACACAATGCCCCTGTGTGAAAAAGTAATTGCCCCCTCAATAACTGGTTGTGCCACTTTTAGCTGCTATGACTCCAAACAAACGCTTCCTCTAGTTCTTGATCAGTCTCTAACGTCGCTGTGGAAATTACTGTTTAATTTTTGTTGCCATATATACAAAAAAGATTGTGTATTTGAGAGTAGTGGACCAGTCTTCAACAATATGCCATTATATTTCATAAGCACCCTGCCTAAAGTGGCAGAAATGGCCTGGGGAAAAAAAATCAACCTGTAAATCACTTGAATGTTGATTAGCTACTACATTAATCACCTTAACAAATGTCTTTAAAAATGTTAAACACCATGGTATCAAGTTCAAAAATTACCAACACACCCTAGGAGTTATATTATGTAGTTAATTTATTAAGAACATTTGTCATTTTACTCTGAATATGACAAACTGGAGATGGTCGTTCTAACAGGCTTTTACATTATGCTATAACTTATCAAACTGAAACCATAGCCATGTCAAGAAAAGCTAGCCACAGTTTTTGTAAGTTTTTGTTAAGTTTGTTATATTACAGAAAGTTTTTGTTCGGTAGAATGCACATAGATGTCCCTACGTCACACAACAGGATAACTTTTGGATGGCTCAGGTTGGACAGCTGCCTTCACGAAAAGACTCATTCTTGAAGTCAGCACACTTGACTAAAACTAGGCACAGTCATCAAGTTACTATGCTTCATTGTCAAAACTCCTGAAAGGTGCACATGCATTTATTTTGATACATGGAATTGTCAGACTTCTGGGTCGACCAAGCCCATGAGCAAAACAATGAGCTGGAGAAAGGTGCAGGGGGAGCCATTGGTCTAACAGAGAACCCCACTGCCTCCCGGAGATGGATGGTAGCAGGAACTGAAAAGGCCAGACTACCGGTTGATTTTGAATCCCAGCTTTTGAATGTAGAGACCCCTTTAACACGAAATCTTCAACACGAGCAAAGTTTCATCACACCAGCAGACATTAGAAAAACAGGTGGCCAGCTGCAACACAATCTCAAGCATGGGGAGTCCATTCCAAGCTAAATGTCCAGAGCTTCTGGTTTTGGATACACACAATTGTGCAAGCAAATATGTCATTAGAACCGTCCGCACCATTGAGATACTATGCACTTTTCAATATCTGAGATATTTGAATGAAGTCATTGTGGATAGGAACACAAACAGTACATCCATCCAACAGAGTGTTAAGAGGAAAATGTACCACTGCTTAAAAATGCTAAGGCAAAGCCAGTCACAAAAGCAAAAGCAAACAAGTTCCGAGATGGAAACCTGCATGAGTTTTTCTCTCCTGAGAATACGAATGTCCTCCAGCCCTTTCAAATAACGGAATGCTTAACCTGCCAACCCCAAAATCTTATCTGCTAGGCCTGATCGCTGTAGATTCCTACCCACCTGTACCTTCTTCTTTTGATGCCTACCCACAAAGTTTCCACATTTGGTGAATATGGCTGTAGTCTCTTCCAGCCTTGGATAGAGAACCAATTTCAATAAAATCCATATTGTGTGGGACAGATACAAAGAAGATAGTCTAAAAGACTCAACAAAAGACAAGTGAGGAAAAGGTGTCAGAAAGAAAATTGGGGAGACAACCAAGATTCCATGTAATTTCTCTGACTTTCTTAGAAATCCTTTTAACAAACAGGAGCTTTTCAGCATGTTGACACAGGTGTGTGCCAATGAATTTGAAGATGGAAAAGAGATCTATCTATGTTACAACTGATGATTCTGTGGTGTCAAATGGGTCTCTCTGACATTAATGCCAGAATGTAACCATGAAGACACAAGAGTATGCCTTTATCTTAAAGATGCCCTTCAAAAGGGTACAAAGACCATTATCATTTGAACAGTGGATACTGACATTAATGTCCTCCTTGCTTGGCTGTTCTTCCATTTTACCAAGGATTATCCAACCTTAAAGCTGTGCGTTGCTTTTGGTATGGGTAACAACAGGGCTGGAAAGAGTACTGAAATATCCTACTCAAGAAGAAGTAGTACTGTTACTTTAATGAAATTCTAGAAGTAAAATTACTGGTGTAAAAAAAAAAACGACTCAAGTAAAAAGTACTCAGAGTAAAAGTAATTGAGTTACTTTTCAAATAAAAACATTTACTTAATAATAAGCTAATTTCCCTAAGGTTACCTGAACGCTGTTACACGTTCTTTTCCATGTATTACATTGAAAAGGAAGAGAGGAAAGTGTTAATTTATTTTATGAGTTGCACATTTGTATGTAAAATAAATTGATTTGTCAAAAATATTCTTTTAACATTTGAAAATAAATTAAACATTCAAAGCAATTAAAATGCATTAATTAATACAAAATCCATACAAAAATAAAGTGCATAAACAATAAAGTTGCCAGACTTCAATATACTTCTGACTCCAGAAATAAACATGTCTAATTCTTTCACCCTTTCAATCCATCATTCACCCCTCTGTTATGTGTTACTTGTCCATGGGACCGGCTGACATTCACTCACTGACCTTTTCACACTCTTTCCCTCAATCACTCACTCACTCTTTCCGTCACTCATTCACTCCGTCACTCATTCACTCCCTCACTCACAAACTCCCTCTTTCACTCACTCACAAGGGATGGAAATAGTACTGAAATATCCTACTCAGAAAGATGCACTGTTACTTTAATGACATTTTATTCAAGTAGAAGTACTCGGAAAAGCTACTCAATTACAGTAATGACAGTTGTAATTAGTTACTTTACACCAAAAAAAAAAAAAGATATTTGCATCAACCATCTGCAAGAAGCTTGGAATGCAAGACAGTTTGTGTGATACAACCTCACAGTTTCATGGAAAGAGCAAAAAGACAGCTTGGAAGTCATTTCCAGAGGTGACTGATGCCTTCGTTTCCAAGGCAGCTGAACCATTCCTGGAATCGTCCACTTTCACATTGCGAGATACACCTGTGTTCTCTATGGCAAGACAATAAGCCTAGATTGTGTCAATGATCT